ACACACACACACACACACACACACACACACACACACCTAAACATATAAACACATGCACATAGTCACACGCAAACATACTGAATCATAAAAGTGAATATATACCTTAAAGACATAGTCGAATTGTTTACTGGTCATCTTTTGCATACTAGGCACACCATCCAAAGCTGTGAGGGTTTCCTGTACAAGAAAAAATGAAACACGATAGAACCTACTCCAGTTCCTATTACGCCCCCAAATAATTCACTCTAGAAAGCTAGATGTAATGTTAATGTTACATTGCGTTAAGAATATTTCATGCATCATACGAGTAGTAATGGAAAGATTCATAGTTATAATAGGGGAAGATGATTCTGAAGTGGGGCTTGCTTGCATTGTCAAAATGGTCAGTTCCTGGTACATAATTATCAAAAAATGCTAACGAGACTTCTCAAGCTAATGCCATTTCAGCGTCGAAAGACAATAAAACGACATGCAACAAACAGCACGGAGTCGGAACTCCAATATGTACATTCAACACTTCGATACCTTAACATTACAAAGTTCTCTCTCACATTTGTCTTTATGTGCTCCGTTTTAAGACACTAAGATAATGAGGTCAGAAACCAAATGTTCTATTTGCTCTATCACAATCATTTTAGTTATCCATTTATTCAAAGAATTGCTTTAGGAAAAGCTTGACTTGTTGTAAAAGTCAAAATGTTACTGAGCAGATAGAACGTAGTAATTCCAGGGTAGCGACTTACCGGTCAGTCTGTGAGAACTATAATATTATTATTATTTATATACCTTGAGGTTAATCACAGTGTCCATATCTCCATCTTCTACGACAAACGCTCGAGCGTAGGCTTCCAAGTTGCTGGGATCTACCAGGCGGTAGTGCTGCATGAAGTCAATGCCTCCTGGAAATAAACACATTGCAGACGAGGCTGAGAGTTGATTTATTAAGTAACTTTTAAATACATAACAATGTGTTCCCCTAGTAGGGTGTGCATGATCTTGAAAATCTTTCACCCTTTCACGATTTTGTCCGGTAAACAAAATTATTTCTGGAAAGTATGTATCAATGAGGTGTGTCTACTGTCAAACTGAAAGGCATGCTCAGGCAAAACTATTCAACACTGCTTTGATGAAAGGAGTGACGATTCTAGAGCTGGAAGAACAATAATTATAACTTTCACCAGTAGGTCAAGATCAACCGTACCCATTTATAAAAGCAAAATGTGATTTACGTGAGGGCTCTCTCTTCCTTAATCGAATTTCGATTTCGAAAATATGATAGCATGCCTATTAACCAATCTGCCCAAAAGTTTACAGCACAAGGATACACGACTATAGAGTGGGAGGAAGAAACAGGAAAAGATGGGTTGAGGAATTAAACGCCTTTGAAGCTTGCAATTTCAGGTTTTGCTTGAACTGTCCCGCCTGACACCTCCAAACTGACCTCTCTCGTCCAGGTCTGTCCTGTAGGTGATGGTCGGGGGCGGGTCCTCCTGTAGCTTGGACTGCTCCATCACCTTCTTCATGTGTTCCTTCAGCAGGATCCCTCCTCGGTGGAACAGAACGTTCACCCGCCGTTGGCCTTTCACTGAAACATTACGAGTTTTTAAAAAGTTGTAGACGCTTTTCGACCCTGTCGACACAATTTAGTGTATTTAGGAGGCGGGCTTCGACCTTACCTGTCAGGGCCAACCTAGGCTGAGGGGAATACAACTTCCCAGCAGATAGACCGAGACACTCGATAACCCCC